GGAGTCTGTGCACCCCACTGGCGGGAAACCTTGCCTGAAGCTGGGTCTTCTGTTTACATCCTCCAGACTCTTGATCATCTTCCCCGCCCCATTAATTTCTTAGAGGTAGTTCGTGACTAGTTTTGCGTGTTCTCACTCCAGTTTATCCGTTTGTAAAAGTTAGTCCCTGGGATGATGTGAGGATGACAGCAGTGGATCAGACCAAAGGGCCTTTGCCCGTTCTCTGATGAAGGCTAGAAGTGGGTGCCCTGGTAGGAGTACAGTTGTGCTTCCAGTCTTGGGATCTCTGAATCTGTCTTTAGAATCACCATTGTCAAGAAAAATCCATTGCTCTTTAAACCCAGGTAAACTTCTGGTGCCGCAGTGTCCAGCTGCAAACCATCTCACAGCTCGCTTACCTGTCGTGTGAAGAAGTACCGCTTTCTGGTCTTGGTGCGTGTTCTGCCTGTTCCCCCTCACGATCCCAGCGCTTGTATTGGAAAAGCGCATGGACGTTCATTTGATAATTGTCCTCTCCGGGGCAAATATCTAGCCAGTGGTCTCTTGTTTTAGTTTGCAAACCTGTAGTCCGCTTATTTGTTTCTCATATGGGAGCTGTTTCATACCAGTGACTAGGTAACATGAAAGTGAGAAATTTTCTCGGGTACTTTCAGCATGATGTTTTGGCTGGGGTTAGGTTGCCAAACATATCCCAGTACTTGCAATATGTGTGAACTCATTGCAGCTGCTGTTCTTGAGCGCTGGCAGCCTGGGAGGAGTGGCCCACTATGTGGCCTGGAAGGCACGTCTGTCTCGGAGAGTGTTTGGCCTTCCTTCTGTGCCTAGATTAACTAAATAAATAAGTAAATGAGGTGACCTCTTGCAATCTCAATCCGTGATCGCAAGTAATCAGATATCTGATATTTTTATCTTTGCCATCCTACAGTAGTTATAGTGCAACATGAAAGAAGCAGCCAAGTTAAGTTTTGGACATCTCCGAAATGTAAAATCCTCTTCACTAGGCTAATTAAAGAATAAATTAGGCAAACATATTTAAGCAGTGGTGTAGGTCTACTTGATTTCAGTTTTGGATTTAAAGTGCTTTGTCCCACTGATGAGTTCAGCCGGTGAGGAAGTTTCACAGTTAAAAGCCTTCATGAAGCGACCAGAGAGTTTCCTGCATAAACAACTTTCTTGCATATCTGTTTGTAATTTAGTAGAAATGAAAGCGGGTGAACGTAGGAGTTACCAGATGTGGCAACATTTGATTTCTGCAGTCGAGTCTCCAAGGGAAACTTCTTTAAAAAAATAAGCCTGTTTTAACAGAGAGGGGTGGAAACTGGATTTCTCATAAAGCTCTGCAAGGAACATGTTTCTCGTTAAAGAGATTATTTTCTTGTATGTCCCACGTCACTTATTGAGGAGGCTTTTGGCAGCTTTGGCAATTTGGAGAAGTGCTTAAGTCAATTTAGCATCCAGAAGCCAGAGCACGGGAGTCAGCTGACTGGAGGTCATGGTTTTGTATCAGTGATTTCAGGGAGAAAATAAAGCTGTCAAGGAGAAAAACATGGTTCTGAATTCTGATAGGGATACTTCCTGTTTGTTCTTTAAGTGCTTTAAATTGCTCTGCATTTTCTGATTAACTTGGTCCAGAGACTAAGTTGCTGTAAGAGTTGTGCCAGTGCCTGCTTTGGGGAAGGGGTGCATTGGGTGGCTCACTAAGCCCAGGTGAGCTTGGTACCTACGTCTGGGGAGGACGAGAGCCTGTCCTGGTTGTAGGCTTGGGGGAGCTGCTGCAGGTGCTGCTTAGCAGAGGACTGCGTTTCTGGTATTGCTGCATCAGGGGGAAGTTTGATGCTGATACAGTACGTTGGTACAGTGGTTTTGGACATTGTTTTCTGTTGTTTGAGTTTGGTTTGTTTTGAGGCCTGTCTGTTGGTTCAGTTCCTTCAGATATGCCTGCAGCCTAACGTCCTTCTCTTGGGCTGCTCGTGCCTTGAGCTGGTTCCTGGGGCGGCGGCCTGGAAGTGGATAAATATGAGCTACCTGGCTTGCCTTTTTTTTTTTTTTTTTTCCTCCAGTCACATATTTTTGACTGACTTGCGTGCAGTCCTAGTTGGTCTTCAAAGACAATGTGCAGTAAGCTGTGGTGCTCCTAGTACCATTTGGAGAATCAAAAGAATTTTATCAATTCTGCTCTGCCTATTCTAGAAATATCAATGGGATGAGATGCGATTGTTTAGCTGTGCCTGCCTAAAATACATTTAAAAATTTTCCATTTGTATTTTTAACACCTGATTGCTTTTTTTGTTGTTTCCTTTTTTCTTCTAGAATTCTTCCGAGAGCCACAACTGTGCCAAAAGCATCTTGACCTCAGACAGGCTGCAGATAGTTGTGACCCTTTCGGAGTTCTTTAACGAAACCTGGGAGGCAGCCAACTGTGCAAGTACGTGACTCGTTCCGTAGCTTTCATGCTATTGTTATGACTTAGCTTAACTTTGCCTCTAAAATTTGCACAGATCAGAATTGTATGTATTTGTTTAAATACAGACAGTATATAACATAAAAATATTAAATTAGAACCCCTCTAATGAGGGGTACAGGAGCTTTTTATTTTGTAAGGAATGCTGCCAAAACTGGAGGGCACTAGTCTATTGGAAAAAGTTGTTATATAGATATTTCTTTTAGGGTGTTCTTTCAAAATGTAGTCACGTTAGTTTTCTTTGTGACCTACAGACCCTGCTGGAGACTTGCCTTAGCTTGACTGTGGTTTCTTCTGTTTTTCCCAGTCTTCCCATTTAAAAAAAAACAAAACAAAACAAACCCCACAAAACAAAAACATAAGAAACTTTTCCTTATTTGTTAATAAAGTCAGTAACTCTGGAATTCTTACGTGTTGAATGGTATCTGCCTCCACAGCCGTACTTTTTATTTCATTTTATGGGTGGAGGGTATCCAAGTCTATCCCTGTATCTCACGGTGCCATGCCGATGGTGCTGTGCCACGCTTACAGTCAAACTGTGGCTTTTTGACGTTTCCCTGGCGTGGGAAGTGGGACCCTATACTAAGAGGCGCACTAGAAAACAGTGGGAATAGCTTTATGAAGTTGAGTGTTAAAGATGCTGGGTTTGCTGCAGTCTCCTTTGAGAGCCCAGAAGAGTTTGTTTTCATTTGTGAGCCTGGGCCGTGTGAAGGCAGGGAAGGTGGCACAGGAGCAGCTGTACTGTCTATGCTGTCCTGCTGTGCTTAGCCTGTGGCCTGCGTGCTGCCTGCTCAGTGTCCAGCTGAATGCTCACCCTCAATCCTGATGGCGCTTCCTTCTTTCGGGAGAATTTCCTAGGATGTTGGCTTGCTCTCACGGTGCTGTTGCTGAAAATCTAAATGCCCAAACCGCT